TAAAAAATCAAGTTCTGAAATTAATTATGTGTATATTATGTTTAAAAATTATTGTATTTTAAGTAGATTTTCATTAAATTCTTTACGAAAACATAAATATACTTTAGATTTGCAATCATATTTTTTCTTGCAACTGATGTTATTTATTAACATGAAGAAATAATAAAGAAAATTAAGTAATAAAATAAAAAACAATTGTAACTAATTACGTTCATATTTTAAGAATTTGCTCTAAAAAAATGTCCGTCTCTTTTTTAAATATGTTTTTAAACGTAATTTGAATAATTTAATGATATAATTTCCAATTAATTTAAACCTTTCCACTTTATTTACAAATTTGAAATTCTATAAAACTTTCTATACTTATAATAATTATTTGAGTAATTTATCTCCAATAAAGTTCAAAGCTTAAATATGTTAAATTTTTCAATAATTATTTTGATGTATTTAGTGAAATATACATTTGAATTACTAATATAGAAATTTCTACAAAAAAAATGAACAAATTTGTAACTGTTTCAATACATTTAACAATCCATTTTTTTGTGTTTTTAGTTAAGTTTAGATAATAATTACTGAACTTAGCAAAGTTTAAATAAAATATGAATAAAATTGTTAATTTTTTTCTACAACCAATGAACAAATTTATAACTTTTTCAATACACATTATAATCTAATTAATAATTTCATCATTAAAGTTGATTGAAAACAATTTTGTCATTAGTGTTAATTTCATTGTTTCTATTATCAAAGTTTTATTATTTTTCTATTATATTTTAACTAATAATTTATTAGTTAAAGTGTGTGTACTTAAATCTCTAAAATTTCTTCAGAAAATGATTAAAAAAGAAACTATTGTGTTTGGTTTTAAATATATTTTCTTTTTATTAATTAATTTACTTTTTTTGTTATATATTGATGCTCTTCGAGCGAATAATGTACAGAGAATACAAATATGTAAATTCAGCTATCTGCATGCAATAGATGCTATTGCGTTTAGAAACTCTGAACTATGGACAGCCTTTTTGATTTTTTTTTCTTATCGAAATACTAAACATTATTTAAGCCACGAAGAGTGAATCAATAGTGAGAGTGAGTTTGGGATTGGGCGGAAGCCTTGGCGTACGCGTCTAAATGGGCGGCCTTAGCCTGCTGGACTTCCGGAGTTTCAACTGGGACACCGTTGGAGATGACGGGAATGTGAAGACCGTTCTGGTAAGAAGGTTGCTGTTGTTGTTGCTGATGTCCGTAGTAAGATTGTTGTTGAGGAACGTAAGATTGTTGTTGTTGAGGAACGTAAGATTGTTGTTGTTGAGGAACGTAAGATTGTTGTTGCGGTACGTAAGATGGAACGTGTTGTTGTTGATGTTGGTATTGTTGTCCGTAAGATGGAGCTGAGTACTTGTTCTCGCGGGCTTCAGCTTCGGCGACGGCGGCGAAGTGGGCGGCTCTGGCTTGCTGCACTTCCACGGTGTCGACGGGTTGGAAAACGCTGTTGGATTGCACGTGATGGTTGGCAGGGGCGTACTGAGGGGCGGCCTGAGCTGGCGCGGAGTATCCTCCTTGGAATGGAGCAGTTGCGTAACCGTTGCGAGCTGCGGCTTCGGCTACAGCGGCGTAATGAGCTGCCTTAGCCTGTTGGACTTCTTCGGTTTCAACTGGGACACCATTGGAGATGACCGGGACATGTTCTGGAGCAGCATTGTTGTGGTAGTTGTTATTGTTGTTGTAATATTGGGGTTGGTTGTAGATTCCACGACGGTGACGGTACAGAACGTGGTTGTTGCGAGCCAAAGCTTCGGCGTGAGCGGCGAAATGGTTGATCTTAGCGGCAACAACTTCAGGAGTCTCCAGAGGAACAACCGATGATAATCCATGAACAACTGGGGTGGCTACAACAGCATGAGCAACATGAACCAAATCTCCATTCCTAAGTTGAGCGTTCAATTTGTGCACGGAATGCTCAGCCCTAGCTTGTTGCACTGCAGCTGTATCAACCGGAACACCGTCAGCTCCGATCACAGCCAAATGCTGTTCACCATAAACCAATGGAGTTACATATCCGGCGG